TTCCGCGCCCCCCCCCCGCGGGTCCGCCCGAAGCCCCGGCCGAAAAGAGAGACGCGGGGAATGCCGACCGCAGGGGCGGGAGAGCAGGAGGGGGGGACACCCTCCCCCAGGGAGCCAGTGCGCCTCGAGGGGGGCGGAGGGAAGGATCCCACCCCACCAAGGAGAGGAGAGGGATCCCCCCCCGCTAAGCCCCGGCACCAGTCCCTCTCGCGCCTTCGCAAGAGCGCCCCTGAGCATGTACAGAAAGCCAGAGCGCCGGCAACAGCGCCCTTGGAGGGGGGCGCCTTCTGAGCTGCCGCGCGTTGACTGGATGAATTGGCACAGGAAAAACGGCGCCCCCTCAACTTGGGCTTTTGGGGGGCGGGGTTTTTGTCTTCTAGTGGCTTGGGGACAAGGTCTTGAGAGAGTAAAGCACGTACATCAAAGGTGTAATAAAACACTCTCGTGCAGTTGCAAGAGAAGAGCAACAGCACATAACGTGTGCCAAAGTATGTGGGTCTTCTCTGGCGCTTCCCCCTTCTGCCCACCGGGCGGGGCCAGGCGTTGGCAACGTCGTTTTAGGGGTGTGTGTGGGGTGGTGGTGGAGGGACGGCTGTCAGCATCCTCCAGATGCCACGTCCACCCACAGGATGCCATGTCCAGGCAGGTCCCCTTTGCAAAACTACAACTCCCCAGATCCACCAGCTGGCGTGGCCACTCCCAGCAACGGAATGGAAAGGAGGGAGGCGGGGGGGGGGGAAATCCGGCTCCCGGAATCTTTTCAAGCCAGCCTGGGCCGCCGAAGTGCTCCGGGACTTGGTCGTCCCCCAAAGTAACTGTACTCAACTCTGGCTAGGAATGATGGGGCGGGAATTCCGCAATAGGGGGAGCGCCCCTGGACACCACCAGCCCCATCTGGTGGAACAGCCGCACCAAAAAAAAACGGTGTGATGCTGTTGAGTCAGAACAGAGTCCCACTGTCTTCAAAAGGGCTTACTTCTCTTGGTTTGGGAGGGGGGGGAGGTTTCCAAAACATTCGGGCGAGCTGTTATGGGACGGGAAAGATGCTTCCAGATCAAGGATTTGTAACCCACGCAAACATATGGGATTCTTCTGTGGTTTGCTCCCCTAATGGGAGCAATGAAAACACGTAGGAGGAGATTCCCAGTGCGGAAGACATCTGGGGATGGCCATGCTGATAAAGTCCCTGAGGTGGGGTGCGGTAAAAGTCTGGTCTGGAATTGCCCAGAAGATGATGCACCTCACACACCCCCACATCCCCACCCCCACAAATTTAGTAGCATGGCAATCCTGGCGTTCTTGGGCTACACAGGGCCAGCTTTCCTGTGAAGCCATCAGAGGCCTTAGGGTGCAGATTTCGGCTGCTTCAAAAGATCCGGAAATGCACTTCTCTCTTGATTCTGGAAGGCAGGCAGGCAGGAAGGAAGAAAGACCTTCTCCCCTTTTAGAGCAGGGGTCCCTAACCTTAGGCCTCCAGATGGTCTTGGGCTTCAGCTCCCAAAAATCCTGGCCAGCAGAGGTGGTGGTGAAGGCTTCTGGGAGGTGTAGTCCAAGAACATCTGGAGGCCCAAGGTTGGGGACCACTGTTTTAGAGAAGACTTGCATAAACAAGCCCAAGAACTCAGTCTCAGCAGCTTGTCTCTTCCCTCACTTGCCTCTCCAGAGCTGTGGCGTCGTCCAGCCTATAACGTAGCCTTGTTGAAGCCCCATGGCTGGAGTCTTCTGGTGGCTGGCTTCTGTCACTACTCCATAAACCTGGCAAAGGTAGACATCTTCTGCCATCCTCCCACACCTTCTCATTTTCCAAGACAGGCGGTGCCCCCCCCTGACTTCCCGGTTCTTCTCTTTGATTCCCTTTGACCCCCGCCTCCTTCAGCTGTCTCTCGCCAGGATGCTGAAACGTGGCACCTTAAGGATGAGCTGATATATTTTAAGGTGAACTTTCATGGATGAGCCTGAAGAAATTAACATGTCCATGAAAGCTCACCTTAAAATATAGCAGCTAATCTTCTACGTACCAAAATATATTGTTTGTATTTTGTCGTTTTCTTCCTGCCGGATTTACTATGAATGTTATGTTTAACTGTTACTGTTTCCCTGTGAATTGTTACTTTGTGTTCTACATTTGTCTTGTATTGTCTAGTCGTGTGATTTTTGTTGTTTTTGTGGTTTATTTTAAAAAGTAATAATAATAAAGAAGAAGAAGTGCAGGTCCCGCTGAGTTCAATAATGAGAATGACTTAAGAGTCTGGAGCAGCTCCCACTAGCTGCTTGAGCTCACTCCAACATTCAAGTCCCCCACTAGCATCCATGTGCATTGTATGATCGTGCACACTGGATCACACCCTGCTTGCAAGATGGGTTGTGTGAATGGCCACACCACAGTGAGACCCAGAGCATTCCCCATTCCCCAGAGCAGGGAATGGTTATGGGATTGCGCCTATGTGCCAAATAGGAGACTGGCCGGTGCATTTTCCACCAGAGCCACACTGAAACACTAGGGATTACTCTCACAACATTTTGTTGAAATAATGGATGAACGAGAGTGAGAGAGGCTGAGAGGTCTGTCAGGAAACTGCCAGTAAGTAAACCTGTCTTAAGCTTCTGTCCAAGACAGTTTCATTTTTTTTATTTTATTTTTCTTTCAGAAGCAGAGATAAATCTGCTGTTTATCCCATAATAAAAATGGAAAGCATTTGTGAAATAATATCCTGCCCCCACACATCATCTTCTGGATCACATTGAAAACACTTCCTTTGTTTTTTTTAAAAAAGTATTTAAAATCAGGACCATTAAGGAAACCTCAGAGGATAACGTGGCTACATATATCCTGAGAGCAATTTCAGCCTTCATTGTTTATGAACATATTTTGGTAACTTTCCCATGCGTAAATCTTGCCTCTCATGATAAGCATCTCCTTTATCTCAGTGAGTCAGTGGAAAGAGTCATGTCTTTGAAAACCACTCTTTTTTGGTAACTATCCTTGAAATCCTGGTTAAAAATCAATTTCCCTGCTGGAGCTTCATAATTTCTTTTGGTAAAAATGCTAAAGTAATATGCTAATTAAAAACATCTGGTCCAGAGGCTCTGATACAGAAATGAAATCTCTATAGGAAATTCCATACTCATAATCTCTGCCCCTGGAACAAACCCTGAAACAAAATAAACCAAGCTCTCCGGTAGACCAAAAAAGCACTTAAGGCACTTAAGGAAAAAGCACTTCAGGAAAGGCATAGATTACATCAGATTGTGTCATTTGCATGGCAGGAAACATACCAAAACCATCGAAAGCTAATAGGCTACTTTTAGAGGAAAAAATGAGCTGTCTGGACAAGCCCTTAGTTAGGCATGAAATGGACCATTGGGTTCCAAGATAAACCTGATCTAATTTGTAATCAAAAAGGAAAGACCAAGAAACAAAATGGAAGCAAAGCAAACACAGCCAGGTGCAGAAAAGGTTCTGGATGTATCTGTATTAGAGAAATGACTCTTAGTATGGGATTTCCTTCTCATGATTAACAGCTCCATCACTAAACCTAGTATATGTTGTTGTTTAGTCATGTCCAACTCTTCATGACCCCATGGACCAAAGCACGGCAGGCCCTCCTATCTTCCACTGCCTCCCAGAGTTGGGTCAAATTCCTGTTGGTCGCTTTGATGCCCCTGCCCAACCATCTCGTCCTCGGTCATCCCCTTCTCCTCTTGCCTTCACTCTTTCCCAACATCAGGGTCTTTTCCAGGGAATCTTCTCTTCTTTCTCATGAGATGGCCAAAGTATTGGAGCCTCAGCTTCAGGATCTGTCCTTCCAGTGAGCACTCAGGGTTGATTTCCTTTCGAATGGATAGGGTTGTTCTCCTTGCAGTCCAGGGGACTCTCAATAGCCTCCTCCAGCACCACAATTCAAAAGCATCAATTCTTCGGCGGTCAGCCTTCTTTATGGTCCAGCTCTCACTTCCATACATCGCTACTGGAAAAAACCATAGCTTTGACTATGCAGACCTTTGTCGGAAAGGTGATGTCTCTGCTTTTTAAAATGCTGTCGAGGTTTGTCATCGCTAGTATGACTATAGTTGGCTCCAACTCTTTCATTCATCAAATCCAGAAATGGGAACAGTTGCTTTTTAAAAAAAAGTCTTTGGAGGCCTCTAGCCTGCTTGAAACAATAAAAGAATGACCATCCCCTCTCCTTTCTTGTGTATTTGCTATGCAATGATTTGTAAATACGCCTCTCTCCCAGAAAAAAAAAGGGGGAGACATCCAGACGGGGGAAGTTGGCATGGCCTGGTTTGTGCTTAAGAGGTTCTTGTGTTTGCTGAGACCCATTTTATTTTCCAGTTGAGTGATCCTTCCGGTCACACCAGGGATGTTGGTGACTTAAGTCTGACTTGACAGGAAGTCCCACAACTCAAGTTCCCATCCTTGGTTCATACCAATCCATTTTTTTTCCTCCCAGGAGAAGGATCTGGAGAAGGTCTTTAGATCATTCCAATGTATTCCCGTTTTGATGAACGACACTCCTCGGGGTGGCAGGACATGATGGAAAGCCACCATAGTCCTTGGTTATCAAAAGCTTCGTGACCCGAGGCTGCTGTTCAGTGAGGAGTGATGGCTGTTAACTACTGAATGAATCAGGATTCACTCGGGCGTCCCCTTTGTCCTCTTTTAAAACTTTTGTCATCTAGGATTGCAATACTAGCCATAAAGGGAGAAAGGCAAGCGGTTGTAGAACCTTGAAGGATTTATTTCAAAGCAAACATTCATAGGGTTTGTACAATTCCATCACTGAGACTGTTCCACAATCTTGGCTGAGATTAGGGGCACCTCAGCAAACCAAGGATAAATCCTCCCCTTCTTGGTGTCTCTGATCTGCTTGGGAACAATGAAGACCACAAACAATTTCTGGAAGATAAAATATTTGATGTTTTCTGCGACAACCGCACCAGCATGGGGAAGCGGCAGCTATTAAAGGTCCCTTATCTTCCAGAGCTGAAATTTTCAAGGCGCAAATTCTCTGTCTTACATGCCATCAAGTCAGAACCCACTTATAGCGGTCCTAAAAGGGATTTCAAGGTAAGTGAGATATTTAAGGACTGGCTTTACTAGTTCTAAGGGACACGGTGGCACTGCCGGTTAAATTGCAGAAGCCTCTGTGCTGCAAGGTCAGAAGACCAGCCATCGTAAGATCGAATCCACGTGATGGAGTGAGCTCCCCTCACTTGTCCCAGCTTCTGCGAATCTAGCTGTTCGAAAGCATGTAAAAATGCAAGTAGATGAATGGGTACCTCCTTGGTGGGAAGGTCACGGCATTCCGTGTCTAATCGTGCTGGCCACATGACCATGGAAACTGTCTTCGGACAAATGCTGGCTCTATGGTTTAGAAATGGGGATGAGCACCACCCACTAGAGACGGACACGACTGGACAAAATGTCAAGGGGGACCTTTGCCTTCACCTTACTAGTTCCATTCCTCCAGTGAGTTTCTGCGGCTGAGTGGGGATTCAAACCCAGAGTTCCTGAGTCTTAGTCCATCACTACACCACACTGGGTATCAAGGCACCAAATAAAAGGGAGGGAATTTTGTGCCCCCCCTGCCCATATCTATAACAGAATAATGTGGCTGATTCAGGCAGCAAATTTTGGGTGGTCCCTATAAAAAAAGCAGCAAAATTTTTTATTTAATTTGCTGTGGGCACCTTTCTTACTGCCAGGCTTAAGGAGAGCTCTTTGTATTTTGTAATTAGATTCTCTGTTACCTTTCCCTTGGTTTTTGAACTCTTTTGTACACTGCTTTGAGTTCCAGTTTTGGGAGACAGGCCAATAAATAAAGGCAGAAAGAGTGGCTTTGTCTCGGATCTCAAAATGGCCTGGCTGATAGGTAAGTTTTGACATATCTTTTCCTGCTCCGGTGGCCAACTATCTCGGACAGAACGTCTTCTTCCCACACTTTAAACAACAACAAACCAAAACAGCAACACCAACTTCTTCTTTATGCACTAGGAGCAGTGATTCGCAGCCTTGGGCAACCGAGGTGTTGTGGGACTACAACTCCCAGAACCCCGCTTTAAAACAACAACAACAAACCAAAACAGCAACAACAACTTCTTCTCTATGCACTTGGAGCAGTGATTCCCAGCCTTGGGCAACCGAGGTGTTGTGGGACTACAACTCCCAGAACCCCCGACCATGCCCTGAAGTTGTTAACTCCTAGTTCCGGGTTTCCTTCTGTGCTCGAGAGGAGCTATCTGAAGCAAGAGACCCTGTCTCCAGAACAGGTTCTGCACCACAGAGAGCAGCCATAAAGGGCAGAGCAGAGTGATTGAAAGGAGGAGGGGGTTCACAAAACCCTGGGGATTGACGTCCCCAGCCAATTGCCCCGGCCCTGAAAGCCAACATGCAATTGGCGCCACCTTAAACCCATTGTTGGGTTAAGCCTCTTTTGTTTTAGTGTGGCTCACTGAGAAAAGTAGGAACGAGCCAAGCCCCTTAAACTTTAGAAACCCTCGGAAACTTTTCACAGGTCTGTTTCAAATCGTTTACAGGATTGATCTTTTCAAGGGGCAAGGAAGCGAAAGCCAGAGATAGATCAGAATCACTGCTTGCTTTTCCATAGGATTTAAGTTAAACCATGGGAATTACATCAGAGGAGAGATAGTTATGTGGTTCCCAGTAGTATATCCATTTAATTTTGATCAGGTATCAGGAACTGGAGGGGAAAGAGCCCCTTGGGATATAAGTGAGAGTATATCACTCAGATGGGCCAAACACCTTGCTTTGAGTATGGAAGAAACTTTGTTTGGTTCCCAGTAGTATCTCCATTTAATTTTGATCAGGAAGCAGGAACTGGAGGGGAAAGAGCCCCTTGGGATATAAGTGAGAGTATATCACTCAGAATCAATAACAAGGGGAAATCAAGAAAAAGAGAATTTTTGGGTTCTTTCCCTATTATTATTGTTATTGTTAATGTTGTTGTTGATGTCCTTCTTCTTCTTCTTCTTCTTCTTCTTCTTCTTCTTCTTCTTCTTCTTCTATAAGTGATGATATATCACTCAGAATCAATAACAAGGGGAAATCAAGAAAAAGAGACTTTTTGGGTGCTTTCCCTATTATTATTGTTATTGTTGTTATTGTTGATGTTCTTCTTCTTCTTCTTCTTCTTCTTCTAGCTTGTAGAAGTTATTTTCCGATACTGTAAAATTCAGAGTTCTCTGTCCAGCCTGCCCACAATATCATCAGGTTCCTCTTTAAACAAGGTGCAATTTGCTTTGAAGTTTATTTTATCCTCAACCTTCTTGGATTTTTTTTACCCCCAGAAAACATATTGTGAGTGCTCGGTCATCCTCCATTTTTTTAAACAGGGTTGGTGCAGCTTACAGTGGATTCAGGGGTCCAGCACTCAATCACTGGTTCTCCTGGTTTTGAACCAAAGATAGGTCTATCTCTGCCTGTAGACTACAACTCCCATGAGTCCCCACTGGCCATGCTGCCTGGGAAATTCCGGCCATTGTAGTCCAAAACCACAGATACGCATGCCTCTATTTTGAACCAAAATGGGACCGGGCAGCCCTTCTAGTGGACTGTCAGCTATAAAAGAGAACACATGGACGGCATATTTCCTGTCCATTCTGTCTTCTTATCTGGAAGCAGAGACATGGAAGATGTTGTATGAGCATCTAAATCAATGGTTCCCCAGCTTGGATAAATGAGGTATTCTTAGACTGCAATTCCCAAAAACCTCGGCCAGGACAGCTGTTGGTGAAGACTTCTGGGAATTGAATGAGGTATTCTTAGACTGCAATTCCCCAAAACCTCGCCAACGACTTATGTGTTGAGACAGATTGTTACAGATTATGTTACACTTATTTGTGCTTTTAGCAAAAAGAAATAAACTAAATAAATCAGCTTGTAAACACCAGAGGGCACTAGCACTTCATACGTTTTCAGGTCTCATAATACCAGTAGCAACGAAGAGTCTTTTGCTATGTATTCTCAAAAGCTTTCACACCCTAGATCTGATGGTTGTTGTGGGTTTTATGGGTTGTTTGGCCATGTTCTGGAGGTTTTCCTTCCTAACCTTTCACCAGTCTCTGCAGCCGGCATCTTCAGAGGACAGGAGCTAGAATTCTGTCTGTGTTCTGGTAAACACAGACAGAATTCTATGGAAGAAGACCAGAATGCAGACAGAATTCTAGCTCTTGTCCTCTGAAGATGCCGGCTGTAGAGACTGGTGAAATATCAGGAAGAACAACCTTGAGAACATGGCCAAAGAGCCCAAAAAACCCACAACAACAATTTATTTAAGCTTCTTCCATCTTGTTTCCAAAACTCAAAGCATGCCACAACATGATTGGAAAACAGATAAACATGAAAATACAGGGGCCAGAATCCTGTTGATAAGTTATGCTAGTGTAAATGCAATGATATCTATGGGAAGTCTGTGTTTGCCCAGCTGATATATCCCAATAAACGGTTACCTCCAGAATGAAACCAAACAATCTTTGACACTTGTATCAACATTCATCTGGGTATCAAGGTATAAGTCTTTCTACTGTTGCAAGAATTTCAGGCAACTTCAGCTTATCTAATTCTACAAACTTTATTAATTTGCATTGCTTCTATGTTCCATATGCACAAAATACTTCAGATTTGTTGTAAAAAAAACAAGAGACTAACAGCTATGAAGAAAATTGTGTTGCAAAAATGCAAGAGACTAACAGCTATGAAGAAAATTGTAGGCACAACTGCTTAAAATGTATGAAAACTAAACATAAGTTGTTGGCAAATATTTCAGTCATCTAAAATGGAAGGAGCAAAAGTAGAATAAAAATACCAAAAATACTGTTTTAAAGTTACATTCTAAAAATGCAAGAGTACATTTAAAAACAAAAAGATTGAGAATACAACTCTTAAAACGTTGAAGTTCTGAAAAGTAAAAATATGTAAAAGAAAATAAACTTCTTACCCCCCTAACCATATTAAGAACACACACAAAATCTATACAATTCAGTGGCCTTGCTCATCTGGAGCTGGCTAATTGTTTTGGTAAACTTAAAAATGGTTTCACAGTAAACTATTTCCAAGCTGCACTTTTATAAAAATGGTTTCACAGTGACTATAGTAAACTATTTCCAAGCTGCACTTTTAAATGTACTTTCATTTTCAGGGAATGTTTTTCTGCACTCCCTTAACTATTATTTTAACACACTATAGACACAAAATTTCAAACCTTGACAACCTTATTCAGCACTCACGTTGACAGACTTTCCCCCTCTATCCATACAATGTTCCCCTTATTTAGGATAGGGCAGTTAGTAAGTCCAGTGACTTTCTGTCTGGTACTGTTCTGCAGTCACAGCCTCCCAGACAAGGGCTTCCTGTTGGTTTTCTATATACAACAAATAAATTAGTTCCAGAAGAGATGTCTCAATAGGGAAATAGATCGTTGACATATTGTTGAAGGATTTCAAAGACTTTCCAAAGAAGAACCATTTTCAGAGAAGGGGCTTTTAAAATGGAGACTTGGATGTGAATCCCAGTAAGTCCCACAATCCTTTGCGACTGATCAGGAGAAAGAAGTGGCAGGTGAAACTTTTCACCAATATGAGCTCAGTGTAGTGCAGCACACAAGGCAACACTGAGTGTTAAGCTGCTCAGTTTCAGCCTATGGGTACTGGCCGCCGGTGAAAGTGGGGGCTTGAGTTCTAATCGGCACTCGTGCCTGATTTGTTCAGGAGGTATTTCTTCTTCATTTGCTCTCACGGACACATTGCGATCCCGCACCTAAAGTGACAAATTCAGATCTGTGTCAGAAAAACAAGACCTTCGTTTGACAAAGCAGAGGTGAAGATTTCGAAATCAGAAGCTTACAAAAGTCACTTGTTTGATGGCACCTTCTAAATCTCCCAGCCAGCCTGGCTGGAGGATGATGGGAATTGGAGTATAAGAATGAACGTTCCCAGGCCCTTCAAAGACCCGCATGAAGTTCAGCTCACCCCTGGGCTATAGCACTTCAGAGGCTGTAAAAACTTGCTGAGGATGGACAACAATTTGCTCATGCTTGCCTGAAGATTTTAGCAGTCATCCTCCTCCCACAAAAAAATCGATTATTCCCAGTTGTATAAAAACTAGCATCATTAGTAACCATGATTAAAATCAAGCTATGTTAGAGGATAAAAAAACCAAAATGCAACCTTTTTCAGGTTTTTTAAATTAAAAAAACCATACATTTTCTACTTCCCGGAAAACGCGTAGGAAGTTTCCCCTCAAAACACCACGCAGTTCTGTCTTGCTCCATCCTCTCCTCAGCAGTTCTTCAATCATGGCTGGATATTTAGAAACATCCTCCAGTCCCACAGGGAAACTGTAAGTAAAAGAAACAACAGCAGCAACACAATAAGACCCAGAGGGACAGGTGACACCAAAAATCCTTTTGACCAAAGGGCTGATTTGAACAAGCATCGTCCTTGCAGATTTCAATGCATGGAGAAAATGCTCCTCAAGAGAAAGGTATGCAGTTCTTGGACTAAATCAAGTCCAACTGAGGAGGTCTTGAGGGTCCGGAATCATTTCCTTCGCCTTGCATTGGGTTTCTCCCCCACTGCTTCCACCCCAGCCTCCCCACAAGTATCTCTCCTGCCCATCCACACCCCCAAATTGTGTGCCATGTCTTCTCTGAGCAGCATGCACCTTCCCTCCGGGAAAGTGCTCAGGGCAGGAAAGTGGATGATGGAACAAAGAGGGAGGTGAAGCCAAGCCGGGCAAAGTAGCAAGAAGGAGCATAACGTGAAGCATGGGGACAGGGAGAAAGGTGAGATGGGGACTCAAGTCACATGACCCGGTGCCAAGTTGGAATGAAGTTGCACTGGTGACTCGGACTCAACTTGTCCTCCCCCCCCAATGACTCAGACTCGACTTGCAACTTGGAACCCACTCACCCCTCCCTTTTCTCCGGGGGTGGGGGGAAGCTTGTTTTTAATAGGGACCTGGATTTGGGACTTGGGACTTGGTACCAAAGACTTGGATTCACACTTGGGATTCAGACTCAAAGACTTGCCAAGATCCCTGACAGCGGGACTCTGGAGGAGGAGGAACAGTTTCCCACTGCTTTGTCCACAGCCTAAGCCCAAGGGCAGGGCTGGCCGTGGACACAGACGGCACACGCCTACTGCCCCACGGCCACAATTTGCCATGAGAGGCCCACGGATTGCAATGCAAAAAAAAAAAAGTTTACTCACCTGTCTTCTCCATCGTAGTCACCACATGAGAGGCCCACGGATTGCAATGCAAAAGAAAGTTTGCTCACCTGTCTTCTCCATCGTAGTCACCACCAATTCCTATTGAATCAGAACCTGCAATTTTCTTGATGTGGTCAAAGTGATCTAGGATTTTTATATTAAAAAAACATAATTATTGCCATTGTTGTTACATTTCTCCTCCGCATGTCCACTACAATACCCATAAACCACAATTGAACACAAGAAAAAGGCAGGACAAAAAGCACAAATGTAAATGCATTTGCTCAGGTTGATTTCATGATGAAACCTTGGAATTTCACACACACACACACCCAAAAGGCATCCTTTGGGAATCAATATATTAAATTAAGAAGCAGAAGGGAGTATTTTAAGATGTGCAAACCTGCAACAGTTGAAATATTAACAATTCGGTTATGGCAGGCAAGGAACTTGGTCGGGAACGTCACCATTATAATCCCTCTGTTCTTTTTCTAGGACAAAGGATGGAAAAATGAAGCGGGTGAGTATTAATCAGAAAAACAGAGAGCATGTCCACACTGGCAGATAGTTATGCTATATGGTTCCTTGATAGCACTGTTTGGCATGGGAAAAAATTGATCCATCTTTCCCCTTTAAGAGGGGGTGAGATTATTTTTAAAAAAAGAAAAACGGACTGTTCAAATAGCTCAGTGGGTTTGGTATCTGGCTCTGGAGCCAAGGTCAGCAGGCATTACAAGTAAAAACCAATTGTATGATGCATAGCTTTTATTGTTATAATATGGGTATCTTCTTATCTATTTGTTTGTTTTCCACTTAGGCCTTAACCTTAATTTGATGCTTAGGCTGAGGGGGAAAAGGATAACTAATAGGAAAAAAATAATACTGTAGTTCTGAGATATTGGCCCCTCTTCCTTCCCGTTCAATGACTATGGTAAACCAGAGATGCCCATATCGAACAGAACTTTGAAAAGTTACTTGTTTGAACTACAGCTCCCAGAATCCCCTGCTTAACAGTGACAGTGTCGTCCAGCATGCTAACTTTTCCATGCTCTGAATGGATCCAGTCACCTTTTGTCCGTGGCAGCAACGAGGCCAGACCACGGTGGCCACTGGGTGGAGGCGAAACATTTCATTGGAATCACTGGGGAAAATCATCCCTCTTTGATCTTTGCTTTGATCCTTCAAGTTCTCTTTCAGACATGAGAATGCTCAGCCTCCACTCACCAGGGCTAGCAGGATATCATCCGGAACGTTCCTGGAATGGCTGCAGACGGAGAAGGCGGAAGAGTGGCTGAAAATGACTGGCGCTTTGGAGACCTCTAGAGCGGCCCGTGCTGTGGCATCGGAGGTGTGGGAGAGGTCTACCATCATCCCGAGACGATTCATCTCTTTCACCACCTCCTAGAACACAACAGGTAAGGTTTCGGTCTTTCTCATATACACACACATGGAGAGCTGAGATTTGTCATGAAATGTTGAGTCCAATCTTGTGCCCAATGTAGGAATCCACACGGTTGTCCAGTTTTCTCATGAATGGCTCCAGCGTCGGAACGCTCAACACCTCCCGAGGTCATGGGCTCCATCATCATACTGCTTTAACAGTTAAGATTTTTTTCCTGATATTTAACTGAAATCTGGCTTCCTTGAGCCCTTTCTCTATAGGTAAGGTAAAGGTAAAGGTTCCCCTTGACATTCAGTCCAGTTGTGTCCGACTCTAGGGTTTGGTGCTCATCCCCATCTCCAAGCCATAGAGCCAGCGTTTGTCCGAGGACAGTTTCCGTGGTCACGTGGACAACATGACTAGACACAGAATGCCATTACCTTCCCACCGAGGTGGTCCCTATTTATCGACTTGCATTTTTACATGCTTTCAAACTGCTAGGTTGGCAGGAGGTGGGACAAGCAACGGGAGCTCACTCCATCACATGGATTCGGTCTGACGACGGCTGGTCTTCTGACCTTGCAGCACAGAGGCTTCTGAGGTTTAATCTGCAGCGCCACAATGTCCCACCTTCTCTATAGGACTACCTTTCAAGTAGTCATACAGAGGATGACTTAATGATGTCGATGCGTGAAGGGGGTTTCTCTCCTAGGGGCCATAATAAGACAGCCTGTGCTAGCTTGGGTAGCAATGAGCACCAACTTTTCCTTTTGGAAGAGGGTAGGGAGTTCTCTGTTCCCACCTTCTCTTCCTTTCTGGTTTGGTTTCTGGAGGTTTTGAGCATAAAAATCCAGGATTAGCCTGCTTGGTTTCTGTTTTCCTTCTAAGGCAGAGAATTGGCTAAAAGTTTAGGACGTGCTTACCCTAGGAATGCTCTTTAGTATCTCCTGAGAGCCCAGATGTTTACAAGGAGCATGCTTACTTTATGGGTTATATTTACTGCATCCATTGAACACCACCAATAAACTTTGCATCACATGAGCATCTGTTGTGCATTGGTTTTGATTTGATCTCACATATACATATTCTTTCTGTTGTCATCCCTGAGTGATGGC